TTTAAATTGTTTGTAGTCAAAGAATGAAGGTTTGAAATAGTGCCCAGACAGTTTAGGGAAAAGCAAATGTTTATCCCAAAATACATGGCTAAGGACCAAAACGTTTCTACAGTCATTTTTTATAAAGCATTAGGTTCCTTGTACCCTTGATGATAAAATACGTGAGTTTTGAAAATAAGTAATTGTACCCGTACAAAACCAAAATTAATTGTATTTCCACCATTTAATTACTACTGTTTGGTAAAGTTCCTGATTCCTGTAGTTTATTTTGTTATAAAATATTTATACTATATAGAGATACCTATTTATATTGGTATCCCCAAATATTCTTTCAGAGATGGTTTTTCATGGCTGTGCCTATAATAGCACATTGTTTGAAAGGCCTGTGAAGTATTTTGCCACTGTTGAGTTTGGATTGAGGTTAATAATTAATAAGTGTAGGTTTTTGCTCATACAAACAAATCTATGGTGTTGCTATTCCTTTACCATAGGATACATTTCTGAAAGTGGAATTAGCAGGTTACAGGTACATGGTAAGAATGCGCAGCTTTAGGAATTTCTATTACATAGTATCAAATTTTACCCCAGAAAGATGGTACCAAAAGGATTGTTTAAGGCTTTGCTGACCACATTTAGCACTTCAACAATTTTCTGTTCATATCTAGTATGGAGAATTTTAAAGCCTCTTCCTTAATTTATTCACTGGTTTGAAAGCCATATTTCAAACTAAGGTTGACTCCTGTGTGTCATTTTTAGAATTGGATAAGATCTTAAATATCATGTATGCATTAATAATAATAATTGAAAAAATGTAGTTTGTGTGTTTTCAGCTTTCTCCTGAAACTATCTGAGGTTATGTTTTTGTAAATCACTTTCTGTGATACTGTGGAGAATAGGGCAGGAAATAAAAGCAGGAGGCTGTCTGCTCCTTTGTTTTTTAGTTGGTTTACAAATTCTTCCCTGAAAGGTTTTTTGTTGTTGTGTTGTTTTTTAGTAATTGTAAATTGGATGGAAAACAAAATGCAGATTGAGAATGAGTGTGCATCTTAGATCTGGTGAGATAGCTTAGAGATCTCATTTTTATTGTCCCATCACTTAATTTTTAAAATAGATTTTATAGGCTAGTGTTACTTAATAAATTACCAGTATTAATTGATTTGAGCAGTTTGCCAGTCAATATAAAGCATGTGAGAAACTTGGTTAATTCCTGAGGTCACCTGTGCACTCTGCTTTTGGCGCTCAAGTTTGGTAGAGACGTGTTTGTGTTAAATTCAGATTTCTCCTTTAATTAAAATCATGCTTCATCCCCAGTTTTTATAGAATTGTGGGAGAATTCTGGAGTTGGTGTTCTACCAGAAATGCCTGAGGTTTGCATAGGGAACAAGGTGCCCAACCATTCAGGGTTTTAAATGAAGCAGCCCAGAGTTAATAGGACATTTAAATGTTTAATCTGGAAGGTGTCTTAGGGATAATCAATCAGTGGTGTGGAGAGGTACTCAGAGATAGAGTAAATTGAGCCTGGGTAGGTGGGCCAAGGGAGTATTTTGTTAAGCCCGGGTATGTTGTGGAAGAAAATACAAAATTATAGGAAGTTTTAGGATAAGCCATGGAATGTAAAGGCCATGTGTTTACCATCTGCAGCCCTCAGTCCATCCAAGCCATGGAGTTGCTAAATTCACTCACCTCTGCTCTTTTAAGGTTTTGCTTCAGTGGAGGATGAAAAAAACGTATAGGATGTAGCCTTCCACTCACACATAGCCTCAGAGTCAAGGTCCAGAGAAGTTAGGGATTCTGCCCAGTTTACAGAAAAGTACTCTGAATAACAGGAACTGCCTCCCAGGTCTTCTTACTCCTAGTTTAGTGCTCCTGCTTGGCAAGTATATTTCACAATGTAAGTGTATGTATATATTCAAATTGTGTTGCTTAGGAGTGTCTTCAGGAACACTCATTGGGTTAGAAAGTACCATAGTATTGGCTCATTGCTTACTGAAAGAAATGATCTTTGAAAGATCAACCTTGTCATCATTTCAGTAAAGCTGGACCCTTAGAAGCCAGCTGTGGGTGTGGAGGGCTGGTTGGTCTCTTCCACGCACAGGAGCCCAACTTAGTGCCAGGACCCAGCAAGTCAAGGAAAGAGAGGGATAGATGTTATTGTATGATTTTTAGTCCAGGGCCACAGCATCTACAATAGAAGAGTGTCCCCTATGGAAGAGATTATTGGCACCAAGGGCAACAATGATGTTTTATCATTATGTTTATACATAATTAATGTTCTTCTCTATGAGCTATTTTTATGTCCCTTGACAATACCTAGCACAAGTTGAGGTGTAAATGGTGCCCACTTATTACTTAATGGATTAAATTTGTTCCATGAATTACGGAAAAATGTGTATATGTTTATGTATACATACACACACACACACACACACACTAAATTTCCATGTTGGAACTCTAATGGGGGAGGAGCTTGTAGAAAAAAAAAGAGCTAAGCCTTCCACAGTCTTTTTTTGATGTAGAACTTAACCTGCCAGAAGGACAGTATGCAGTGATACTTTCATTTAAAGGCTTGCTGTTATTACCTCATTGATTGAGTCTCTCTGTACCCCGGGTTATTATTCAGAAGTTGAACTGTTATTTCAGAACAGATGTCCTAAGAAAAGTTGATCAGTCATGTGTTACTCTACCGAACTTTTGGTCCCATTAATACTATGATAGGATATTTTTCATACTGCCTATCCCTAAATTCACTTAAGACCCAGACATCCTAGCCAATTGAGGAAAATGTAGTAGTCTGATGTTGCATAAATGTGCAATCTTTAGGTTTTAGAATAAGACCTAGAAATTCAAGCTAGGAATGAAGGTCCGTGCCTATAATCCTGGCACTCTTTGAAGCTGAGGCAAGAAGATTGCAAGTTCAGGCCTGGCCTGGGCAACTTAGCAACTTAGTGAGGCTTTACTAAAAACTAAAAAGATCTGTAGCTCAATGCAAAGGCCCTGGATTTAGTCCCTAGTACCAGAAACTCATCATTTTTTGAATTTGTGTGTTTGAATGGAAAGGCTCTTTGCTTACACACAATTTATTGAAAGTGGGATGTGCACATTTAAGCTGAAAGAGTGACAGTGATGTGCAGTGTGACTGACAGTGAGGTCCTGGACTCGATGTGCGGAGCTGAGAATGGTGGGGAAAGGAAGAGCCCTTGTGCAAGAATTTGTCTACCCTTAGTCTATAGTTCTTACAAATGGGTCTCCATAGTATATGAGACTTTCTACTTTTATATGGCACTTTGGTTAAAATTGCATGTCGATTCAAAGTGTTGAATGTGATTATTATTAAAGAATATGAAGAGAGAAAACTAACATGTAGTAAGCCCTTGAGTTCTTTCAAGTAGTAGGAATTACACACTGCTATATTTATTCCTCAGGACAGTCCTAAGACAATGCAGTTGAAGAGGTTTTTTTGTTTTGCTTTTTGATTTGTCTTATAGGCACACCAATGTTAGGACTTAGAGCTTACAGAATTACTATTTTTTCCTACAGTCTGCCTCTACATTCTGCCATTCTCTAATGTGTGCCTTCCATGCTAGACTGTGAGCTCCTGCAGGCAGAAGTATGCCTGTGTCTGTTCTCTATACCGTGTCTGCCCTGGATCTTTCTGGGTAGGCTCAGGAGATTTGAGTCTCTGCCTATATCATCTCGGGAGTGACCCCATCTGCTATGTTGACCTGCAGTGAAAACATTCATTCCTTCCTGCGAGTACATGTGCTTGTGTATTGCTCTCGTTAAGTTAGGGCCTACACTCACAAGTTACACAGAAATCATCAATAGTACCACAGGCTGCAATTCCCTATCCCGCTTCTACTTTGAAAAATTAAACCATTGGAAAAGCTGAAAGAATAGAACAGTGGACGCTAGCACTTGCATTCATTTGTTAACACTCTGCTGTACTGTTTTTGGCCCCCCCCTTTCTCTTTTCTCTTTCCATATTTTAAAATTTGGGGCAAAACCTAAACATGCAGAGTGAATATTTATACTCTGAACCTTTGGTGACATTTGTTACTACAGTTTCTAATTGTGTCTTTTTTGTCATCTTCTAAAAGTAAATTACAGACATTATATTTTGTATTTGTAGTCTCTTCTAAGCTAGATAGTCCCACCAGTTCTATTCTTTTTTATTTTTTTATTTTTTATTTTTTGGTACTGGGGATCGAACTTGGAACCTTGCACTTGCAAGGCAGGCAGCAGAACCACTGAGCTAAATCCCTGGCCCCTTTTTAAAAAAAATATTTTCCCTTGTTTTTTCCATATAAGACTTGGTTTGATTCCCTGACGACACCACTTAAACTATGAGGGGTAAGCATTTGTGGAAATTAAAATTGTGTGTGTAAGATTTGCCTTACATATTTGGTAATTATAGATAATTTTTTAGTGCTACATCACTTTTCGTTTATCCTTTCTGTTGAAAATACCTCAGTTCAGGGGCTAGGGATTTAGCCTGCCTTGCAAGTACAAATTCCTGAGTTTGATCCCTGATAGGAGGAAAAAAGCTAGGAAAATACCTCAGTTCAGCAATAGTGCCACTCTGCTTGCTAATATTGGAAGACACAGAAGACTAAACTTACTGTCATTTTTTATTGTTACCTTACCACATCCACAGTGGGAGTATGATATGTTGTTAGGAGAATCCTTACATATTAAAGGCTCACTATTGATAATGATGTGAATAGAATTTGAGATTTAATAACTCTGAATACCGTCATTTGAGGCAGAGCTTCACACCTGTAAACTTGAGAGGTAGAAAGTAACTTGGTCTGTGGAAGGAGGGTTTGCAAAGGGGAATGCCACTGCTTTTGCTAAAATAATTTTGAATTTCCATATGTCTGAATTAAACACACAAGACTTTAATTTTTTTCATGTCTGTGGTGATGTTACACAACAGTCACTTTTAATCAAAATATAAATATTTAAGTCATGATTTCTCCTTTTCAATTTTACTCATCTAGAAGGAGCTGGCAAACAACCCTGACTGTCCTCAAATGTGTGCCTATAAGCTGGTGACCATCAAATTCAAGTGGTGGGGGCTGCAAAACAAAGTAGAAAACTTCATCCAGAAGGTAAAATCTGTTCAAAATGTGGTGATGTAAGTAAATTTAGATTAAGATTTAAGATAATTCTAAATGGAAATTTTCTGTTACTTTTTTTCCTCCTTTATGAGATGAAAATTATTGTTCCTATAAAATTCATTTCTGCTTTTTTTTTTTTTTTTAACCCTAGAAACAGCAACGACTGATGCTGGAAGAGGTTTTAAGGGGCTTCCTTTGGGGAAGTCCATAGCAGTTTTTTATTCAATGTGATTTCCTGATAGGTCACATGGCACTTCTGTAAAGAGTCCTTTTCATGTACAGTATGTCCCCAAGGGGACAGCCTGTCCCTGGCTGGATGGAGAGGGCAGCCTTTGCCTGCTAAAGAGCTCCTTTACCACTGTGACAGTATCTTGGCTGCCCCCCACCTCTGTGACAACACCTTATCATGTGGGGTGGATTCTTTATATGTTATTACTGAACATGGGTGTACTCTGAATTAAAGTGATATGATCTTAGGGTTCACATTCTCATTGTCTGTTTTTATGTCTTTATTTAAATGAAAGTAACATAGGCAATCAGATCTAAGAAGAAAGGAGAATTGCAGTTGTATAGATGGACGTGGTTATGATAGAGTGCTTTCCTAACATGCAAGAGTCCCTGGGTTCGATCCTTAGCACCACAAAAACAACAAAAATGCACATTGTTATAAATATACAAGGGGTGTGGAAAGTTTCCTTGGTATTTATTTTTCCTGTAGTATGAATATTTATGCCATTATCATTATAAAGAATCCTCCATTCTGTCTCTGATTCCCACAACTTGTGTCTGTTTCACTACAACTTTTCTACTTTTCTTTACTGAGAATCAAACTTGGGACCTGGTGCTTGCTAGGCAGGCATGGCGATGCTGAACAACATCCCCAGCCCTAACTTTTCTACTTTTACACTGTAGCTACTGTAATATTTGAAAAGAAAGGGACCCTAAAGTGCTGAGAACCTTGCTTATTCTTGGGCCTGTTTGCATTTAGCCCATGTTAGGCACCCTAAATTTTGGCTCCATTCCTTTTGGATTATAATAATAGATTACCAATCTAGTTCTGATAAATAAAAATCACATGTGTAATTGGTGAAGTCCCTTCTTTTCGTGGAAAATGTTAAGAAGTTGAAGATTGTCCAGAAGTACTCATTATTTGCTTTTCTCTTATTGGGAAAATTGAATACAATTTAAATAATTTAGAAATTCAAGCCACTGTTTGTATATATGGTTATATGTATTATAGTGACAGTAACATGTAGCACAGGAAATTAATGGAATGTGTATGTGTGTGATACATAATTGTTACTTTAAGTAAAACATCTTTATCCCAAAGAATCCAGGGCTATTTTCTTTCAGACCTTTGCTGTATTCTACCTCTTGGTATTCCTTTGAAATGCAGAGAGGTGAAGAATGACGTTAGTTTCATAGCAGAAAAAAGTCTAGTTGCCCTTTGCTTGATGACATTTAGAAAAGGTAAAAATAGATTGGGTCCAGCAGAAGTATGTTAGATCAGATTGTGCACACCACAGTTTTTTAGTTTTTACTAGATCATTACACCTTTGGCAGGGAAGATTATTTCCCATTTCATAGAGAAAGTTTTCTTTTCATTTTCCTCTATAAAATTATAATAGGGTGGAAGTAAGATTTCCATTGGTCCATATAGAGTGGTCTTTTCAAAAGAGGTATATGTAAATTTCATGGGTTGCAACATGTAAAGTTAATATGTCATTGATCTTAGGTTTTTGCCATCTTTTGCTACTTTTCTTCTTTGTTTTTAAAGCAAGAAAAAAGGATATTTACAAACTTCCATCGCCAGCTTTTTTGTTGGATTGACAAGTGGATTGACCTGACAATGGAAGACATTAGGAGAATGGAAGATGAGACTCAGAAAGAACTAGAAACAGTAAGACTTGCCATTCTATGGGACTTTGCTCATTTCCCCTCTTTCTAAAACTTTATATGCATGAGGAGTGTAGGCCTAGAATTAGGAATAATATTATCAAAAGCTATTCCTTCATCTTTTTATCTTCATCAAAATAGTTTTTTAGACATTAATCTCTTCACATGTTCTGATTTCTCTTTTGTTGAGAATTTGTCACCTGTAAAATATTCAGTGGTTTTGTATCCTTTCTCATATAATAGTTTTCGGAGATGGTACCTGGTTCACTGTCCTTTTAGACTGACTTTATCAGACCAAGGTGCATTTGACTCAATAAGTCTTAGCTCCCTCTCCTGTGGACAGAGTAAAGCTAATATTGTCACTGATCCTAGAAATGCCTTCTTCTTTGCCAACCTACCAGTGAATTATTTTTTTCCTTGTAAGTTTTAGGCAGCTTTGAGTGATTCCTTAGCAGAAGGCCAGCACACCCTCAGCTCCTCCCTGCTGCCAGTGAGCAGGCTCCGCAGTCAGTGGGTGTCTCCCCTCTCTTGGGGATGGATTCTTCCTTGGCTGCCTCTTGCATGTGTCTGGTTTTGTTTTTGCCTTGGGCCACACTTGTCTGTAGTTGGCATTGAGGCCCTGTGGGAAAAGGAACCCAAAGAATGTCCAGGGTTTTTCAGTGGTTTCCATGTAGTCACCTCTTGTCCTGCCAGCAGGCCCAGCTCTGGAAGCCCTGCAGGTGTGTCTGACAAATGCCCCAATAAGAGGCAGGCACTCCATTTAAACACTGGAGAGTGGCAGCAAATGGGGTTCTGTGGCACAGAAGGAAATGTGTTCATCTGGCACATACCATTGTAAAGACTCTGTGTCTAAAATTGCTTACTTTTGGTGATTGCAGCAGGTCTGCTTCTAATTAGCTTTATACAAACCTTCTGAGAGGATGAGGGCATATTTTCTTTATAAGGCAATCAAATGTTTTAACCTTATCTCAGACATAAAATAAACTATAGGCAGACTCCAACTTATGAATGGATTGTGCCCCCAATTTTTTCTAGTTGATTGTTTGGAATTAGGAATATATTTTCCCTTAGAGACAACATTGTAAATTGAGGTTTGCTTTCTAGACCAGCCAGTAGAAAACCTCCTTGGCCCCAGTTTCTCATACTAATGGTAAAACTCCAAGTTCTGGATCTTTGGAGCAGGATGATAAAATGGCAAAAGTGGAAGGCCCTCATTCACTCCCTTATTCTTAAGCTGGCCATGGATATTTAGTCAGGGTTATGATTACATCCTACCTTTCTTTCCATGCCTCTCACCCACTTCTGTTCCCTCTCTTACTGGTCAGGTACCCTTTACTGCCACTAAGAATTCACCCCTGTTACCATTCCAGCCAGTTTGAATCTCTTTTCTTCTACCCTGCCTGGTTTTGCTCCCTTGAAGCAGCTGACGTTCACCCCACAGAGTAGCTGCCTCATTACCCACATTCACACTAAGCTCATGGCACAGCGCTGCCATTTCCAACAAGGATTTACCAGCACCAGTAAGAAACAGGAATCAGATTTATTTTTGTTGATCCAGACCCTCAGAAAGAGCCCTTCTCTTGTTTGTTTTTTTGCCAAAAAAACTCACATGGAGCATTCACCTTGACTAGTCACCTTGCATATAGCCTTCTTTGGTCTGGGATCTTAACTTTTGCCTGTCCCTCAACTCCTTGGATAGAACTTGGCTGATATCTGTTCTTTCCCTGATCTCAGTGCTTTCTGAAGTTCCCAGTCAGGAGGTTCCCGAACACACAGTGGTCCCAGTGTCAGCACAGTGAGGCCCCTTACTACATAAATGCACATGGAGGTGGTGGCTCTCATTCCCACTTGTGGCCGTGAGCCTGCAAACTCAGCTCCTTCATGTGAGTCAGTTGTGAGTTGGAACGTGCACTTGAGAATAAAGTAAAAGATAGTTAAGAAATTATATAGAATTTAAAACCCAATTTATTAGAATCATTGTTGGACCCTCACGGCTCAAACTTGCTAAATTCCTCATGAAGTTGGTATAATTCTGTCCAGGGTTGGGGGCGCAGGGCAAAGCAGTTTCATTGTTAAATATGTCAAAAACACTTTATGACAGATTTCAGTATTGGATGCTGATCATCTTAACATAAACCCTATTTAAGCCAAGTCACTGGGGAGTGCTTTATTCCTCTAGCATTGCTATTGTTTAGAGCATCTTTGGATTTGTGAGCATCTTCAGAATGTGGCCAGGAATATTGTGCTGGAAACACGCACCTCATGAAGGGGATCTAATGCTTTAACCCCTCTTCCCCACTAGAAACTTCCCTTGGTCTTGAGGCCTTGTTCCCCTAGACCTGCTGAAAGAATTTGGCTCAATTGATGCTCTTGGTTCACAAACATTTTAAGAATTAGCTTTCTTGGGCAACCCACTTTCGGGTCCTCTCCTGTCTCTTAGAAACTGTTCCTATTCCTCATTCCTATTCTCTAATAAATTTTCTTACTCTAAAAAGAAATAAAAAAGAATTGGCTTTCTTTTTCTCAAATGGGTCTTGGCTCTGGAAAAAAAGGCTCTAGCAACTTGAGAGGTTGGGCCCAAGAGGATCACCCTTGCCTGTGGTCCCTTAGAGACCTGCTGGGGTTAGACCCAGCCACTGAACTGGTTGGTAGCATATTACCCCTGTTCTCTGCTGGCACTTCCCCAGATAGGGGTGCAAGGGGATGTTTATAAATGTGTTCATTGCATTTATTTCTTTTCTGTTTCTTGATTTTCCCATTGAATATTTTTTACTCATCTGTAGACTGTTACAAATGCCTGGTCTTTCCTTTGCATCATTTCAACCTTTGTTGTTTGCCATGTATTATTCCTTTGCTTGCTTCTTTCTTTCAGTCTCTTTCTCTCTTCTATAACCTTCTTTTAATGGACTCTGAGAGACCTGGTCTTAGGAGCAGTAGAGGTGAACCACCCCTTATGACTTCCTGTCTGGTATAGGGACTGTGAAACTATGGACCAGACCTTTGGGCATTTTTTTCACATTATATTGGCAAATAGTTCGTTTTTCTATTGGTGGCTTTGATAATTACATATCAACCTGTAGGTCTTTGGTTTTGTTTTGTTTTTTTTTTAATTTTTATTTATTTATTTATTTATTTTGGTATTTGTGTTTTAGATACAAAAAGTACATGTATATTTTCTGTGATGTACAAGGAAAGCCCTTTGCAAGATTATCAGTAAGCCAAGATTATCAGAGGGGTCTCAACTTAAAATTCTTCACCTGGATATAGTTATAAATAGGCACCCATCACTTCATAATTTCTTCTGGGTCTTTTTTCTCCCTTTGCATACTAACTCCTACTTACAGTATGATTTCGGCAGCTCATGATTTTATTTTACATTTAGATGCGTAAGAAGGGTTCCGTCCGAGGCACTTCGGCTGCTGATGCCTAGATGAGTCCCCCATAGGGTCAGAGACAATATCAAAATGTGTAAGTGAAGACCTGGGAAAAAAAATGTTTAAAAACTGTACCTTTTTGGTGATGGGGAGTTAACTTGCTGAGCACAGAGGCTGTGTTAAATGAGGTTTTATTTTTAGAATTTAAAAGATACATATTTTAGAAACTGACAATGAATATTTGAGTTCTGTAACAATTGTTTCTGTGGAACAGGTTAAATTTAGTGATCCCTGACCAGTTCTTGGTATTACCGGCTAGAAATGCTTGTGGACTTGTTCATCATGTAGCATTGTCCTGGAAGCTGGCTCATTTTTTGTTAGTCAGTTAACTAACCTGTTTCTCAGTAAAACCATGAATGGACACTAAGGATATATGTAACAGCATTTTAAATCAAACAGATCATTAATCCCTAAGGGCCAACCTTAGTAATTCACTTGAACTTTTTTTCTGTGCACCACAAAGTCTTCATGTTTAATCTTTATTTAATTTGCAGTTAGCTTTACTCTGTGTAAATGTTCTTTGCTTTTAGTTTATAGTATATAACATTTCTGTGGTCATATATCTCTTAATACACACTTACCTGCGCATTTAACAGATTTCTCTAGAGGGGAAAAGAGTTTCAAAATCTACCCCACTTACTAAAACCAGTGTGGGTAAGCAAAAGTGTACATTACATAGCCATTACTTGTAAATACTGAATTACGATGTTCATTAAGAGAAAGAACTATACATACCATTCCCCTTCTCTCTCTCCACTGTTTCTTTGCCACCCCTTTCCATGAGCTACCTGCTCTTTAATGGTCAAGCATGAGATAAGTGAGGTGTTCAGTTTGCAGCAAATAAGAATGAACTAACTCTTGCAAGATTTCTCCAAAGCTTACTCTTCAGACTCCCTGTTCATGTAAAAAAATTTTGTAGTTAGTTTTTATTAAGTTCTCCTAAGTTTTTATGATTTATTTTTACTTATAATTTATTTTCCCTCTGATGAAACACAATGTTATGCTGTTAGTAAGACCATAATCTTTTTAAAGAGACTAGAATATTAAAGTGCAGTAGTTGGGATACATTTTCTGCCAAAAGTTTTGCCGCATCAAGAGATTTTTTTTCTGGAGAATGTATATGACAAGCTGCTGTCTAACATTTTCTATATCTCTCTGTGTTTTAACACATTTTGCACTTTCACTTTTTTGCAGTTACGTAATCAAGGTCAAGTGAGGGGAACAAGTGCAGCCAGTGACGAGTGAAGAAGAATCTGACCAGTATCTTGCAGTGTTGATGTTTCCAATGTGTGCTTGTGATGACACACACATGCACAGGTCCCCAGCTGCGTGTGTGTATGTGTGTGTGTGTGTAGCTGTATATAGAAGGCATGTAGAGCTACAGATCCAGATACACACGTGTGTATATATGTACATACAGACATACTGAAGGGATTAGTACAATTTCTCCAAAGTACTGTACCTATCTTGGGCAAGAATGCAAAAGAAGATATTTTCAATATATATACCTGGAACAGATTTTAATAATTATCAGAGTAATACCATTATTGGGCAAATTGACTGCAATGTGATACTAGCTGGTATGTTTCATAAATGTCAAGTTGTGGACCAATATATATATAGCATTTTGTTTTTCTTCTGTTCTTTTAAATCAGTCTCTTACAAATTTTTATTTTAGTCCCATAAGCAGCAGACTCCCACAGGAAGACTTCTTCAAAATTTTTTGGTATTCCAATGAATCTGGAATGTAAACTCTGAATGTATTTATAGCTATTTATTTCTGGATGGTCACTATCTTCCTGCCAAATTTGACAATATCTGTTAAGAGTAAAGTTACAGGCCAGTTTTTACTACTTTACCCTGAGGGAAAAATCCTTTTAGAAAAGTTTTCTGATTTTTATTGGATTTTTGTATTTTAAATTTCAAGTATTTTTCTACATCAAATCTAGCAAAAATGGAGAAGA